GCAATTCTAAGGCCACTTGCAGGGCTTTCTTCAACACGACTGGGTGGATTATAGTAGGCAGCCAAGTACTACATAGCATGTGATACCACGCATCCTTCAGCACTGATTTCCGAGTCAGTCATCCTTCGGTGCAGTCTCCCCTGCTAAGGACTATATTCATGAGTCCGAATTAACTTTACAGTATTTGCAACGATAAATTGAAAGGACTTTCCTTGCCTCCTCCGATCATTCTTGATGACTGGCTAGATCTCGAGGAAGGACTAATTTGACCTAAAGTAGATAAGCTATCTCAGGAGTATCAACGACTTTGGTCAAGAAGATAAGGGAAAGGAATGCCCCTACAGAATCCATACGAGTGCTCAACTAGGCAGAGCCTTTTATTCTCTTCCAGTTCTATGGCCGTATTCGCAGCATGGTCTGCTGCCTATGCTTTCGGACTTTTGAGCTTTCTCTGCAGCTAAAACAGTCCATGGTGTCATCCACAAGTCAAGAAATTTTCATGTAGCTGACATCTAACATAATTAATTCTCGATTCTCTAAAAAACGGATTGAATTACTTTACCGGCACCGATGTTGCTAGGAGACGCTTTCTAGTGCATTTTTACCATAGAATTCAAACAAGTGAAATTTCTCACCTTTATTTAACTACCGCCAAAAGATTGAGAGACGAAACTCACAAATGGATCCTCCTTTCTTTAATATTAAAATGAAGTATTCAAGTGTGCCGCGTCTACCATGGAGCTTACCCAGCACCACGTGCTCCAATTCATCACTCTCAAGAGCTACCATTAAATCGGGCCTCAGTGGTGAATTTACTTGTAGTTTACCAGTTTTTTAGCCTTGGTAACCTCGATCGCATCTTAAAACTCCCCAACTTTTTCAAATTGTAATGTCCATCATTGTGAAGTTATGAGCCCTTTATTTAAATTTGCGTGTTACGTTCGGTTAGGACCGCCCCTGATTGATGCTAAAATAGCACATCCCCTACTAAAGTGAGAGTTTTTATTCTCAAGGGGATGAGAAATTTTTTAAATTGCTATACGTTTACGCGAAAAATTAGACTATGAAGTAATTCTTGCCTCTGCATA